TGGCTGGCTGGGGAATTCTGGGAGTTGAAGTCCACTCATCTTAAAGTGGCCAAGTTTGGACAACACTGGGCTATAGCAACATCTAGGAGATTTCTTTCACATTAGTGCAATCACTGCTGCCACGATAAGATGCAATACATAGTTGCTCTCATTGGGAAAACAGCAAGTTAGAGGAACTGAGTGTAGCAGCTTTAGTACTGGACACTCTACAATGCTTTCAAATATTTATTTGAAATATTTATATCCTCCGTATCTACCAGAAACAAAAGCGCTTATATATTTCAATAGATTTATGTGTCATGTTTGTTAAAGAGCTCCAAAGCAACCAACAAATTATTAAAACAAAAATACAGTTTGATATTATATCAGATTTATTGACCTGTGTAAAATGCATTATACTATGCATCGCAAAAATCATTTAATTATTTTACTTATATAATAAATGTGCAAATCAGAGTCCTGATTTAAAGAAATGTATATAGATGCAATTTAGGTAACTCCCAGAATCTATGGGTAATGTTTCTTAGTAGATTTGACACAACTGTGTAGACAACAGACTTGTTTACAAATGCCATGATACTCATTCAAATAATTAATTCTGTGCTTAGTCAAAGGGCAACAATTAGATCTTTAGGCAAGTTGAAGGACCCAGATCAGTACATTCCCATTAAGAGAACACATTCTGTATTATAAAATACCTTTATTACCTTTATTATCATCTATTTTAGGCAGAGACGGAACAAAAATAAAAAATTCAGAAATACAGATGAGCATTTGTTTCCAGTCTTTTGGCATTAGAGTAAATTCAATTAACAGTAAAAGGAAAAAGAAGAGTTACAAATGCAACCTAATCTTACTGTTCGATAAAAAATAAATATATGTCTAAATAAGGCAAAACATTATTCCCAGATGTAAACAACTGTTATCTAGTGACTATCATTTAAATCTACAGTAAAGAAAATAGTTCTACAAACAAAACTAATTTGCCAGTGTTTTGCATTAGACCACTGTCTATCCATATCTAAGCCAAATGTGTTCATGAAAAAAAAAATCAGCATCCATTTCTTCTCCTTTTATTGCATTCAATAATTTGCATAATAATTATTTTAGGTCTACTTAGCCAGTTGTCCCTGTATCATTTCAAGCTTATTTTTCTCTTGAGAAAACAGGTGTGGAATCTCAAGCTGGGTGATAACATGTGACAATATCCACACTCTATTACATGTTTAATCTTCTGCCACTATGCATGGGGAAAGTGACATCAGTCATTTAACTTGCATCTTCGAGCATCTTTTAAAAATGTGATCTTACAAAAAGGATGGCTATTAATTGTCCTAAAAGTGAACAAAATCCCATACCCAACACTGTTCCATGAAGCAGTTGCTGGCAGAAATCCCATACTGGGACATATAGCATCTACATTCTCAAAAACGAATGTATTTTTAATAAATATATTTACCACCACAGGAAGAGGTATTTAGTTTAGTCCTTTCTGGAAGCAAATTAAAGGAAACGTTTAACTACTTTTCAGTGTATAATGTTGTGAGCAATACAGCTTCATCAGAATGTTGTGGTCTTTAGAATAACTGAATTCTCTTCTGTATTCTTTGTTCTACTTTGATTTTTAAGTGTTTTTCTATTTTTAATTCTGTAAAAAAATGAAAAGGAAAAAAAGGACATTATCATAACATAATCCTCCAGAATGAGGCACATTTCATCTTCACATTTAAGGAAACTGTTGTTCTTTAATACGTAGTAAATATGTCTACATGTCTAGTTTCAAATCAAGCTGTGTGCAAAGGCATAAATGACAAAATGTGCATTATGAAGTCACAGAGGAGTTCTGCCCTATCATATGTATGCTGTAACACTGCATGCAAGTATATAAGGAGCAGAATTGGGCTGCTTATTAATCCCTACTTGCATCACCCCATGGAAGTCTATGACTGTGTGACTTGGGAAAAATACCTACAGTTTATTTAGGCTTATCATGATAGAAATGTAGCATTCTGGAGACTTCTGGAAACAACCCAGATAGTTTGAGCTGATGGTTTAGAGATGATGAGAGAGATGATCTTGACAAAAACCTATTGGCACAAAGGTTTGCCTAAAACAGTTAAACTCAGCAATGGAGTGATCACGGTTTGATCATAATAAAAATATATGGTTGGCTTGTTATTTTACCCAAACTTCAGCTAACCTCGCCTTTTTCCATTTTAAAAGCAGCTGTGAAGAGCATAGACCTAGACTATGCTTTCAATCTGGATCAATCTGGGACAAATAATTACTGAAAAGGTTGTTGGAAAATTGTTGCATAGCTTTAACAGAAGTGTGATTTGGTTTCAAAAAGCTACAAAAGGGACAAACAATTGGAATTTCTCTTGCATATCATAACTCTGCTCCTCAGGAATTTAATAATAGTTTATTAAATGTTAATGTATTTAACTATAATTTATTAAATCTGTAAGCTGCCTGACTCTCAAAGACTGAATTTAGAGTCAAATATTTCTTCCATATTATTCTTCATACCATTCTTTTAATTACCCTAACAATAACTATGGTATGAATATACTATGGTATTCTGTACTTTCTGTAATACTTTGATTTCAAACACTCTTCCAAAATGATCAGCTGCAATATTAGCTGGGATTTCTGCTTATTTTTACTGTGCAACATCCTTACCCTTTAACTCTTAACATCTGTTCAATAGTCTCTGGGAGAGGAGTGCCATAACTTTCCGGAAGAAACAGGGTCAGGATTCCTGAAAGCACTGTCAAGCTTCCCATTAAAATGTAGGGAAGAAATCTATCATAGGCACCTAGCAGAAAGGACAAGTAGGAATGAGTTATTCATGTCAAGTTGCTTAACATTTGCATTTCCTAATTTTGTGACTCCAAGATTTATATAGATATACATTTTTATCTAGTTTTATTTGGACCTGATTTGGAAGCTGATCATAAGTTCCTCAAAATGAACATCAGAAATGGAGATCAGCTTTTCCATGTCTATACATCTTTCCTAGCAGCAACATGTTGTAGGTCTGTATATCAGAAACCAGTTAAGAGTTCACTGAAAGCAGGGCATATGAACTTGCCTTAGCAGAAAACATAATGACTGGCAACTTACCAAGATACACAAAATAAGGTGAGAGGATGCTGCCAATTCTGGAGGCCATTGAACTGGCTCCAACTCCCATGTTTCTCACAACAGTTGGGTAGAGCTCAGCAGTGTACACATAAACCATTGAGAAGGAGGCTGTGATCCCAAATTTTCCAATCATCACGAGGATAATGGACAGAACACTGAGGTCTATAAGCAAGAGCCAAGCAAAGTGCTAGTAAATCAATAAAACAATTGCCTGCCTTCTGTCTCTTGTGTCATTTACAAGTAGTCCTTGCTTACCGATTCCTTGTTCAGTGACTGTTCAAAATTATGATAGTGTTGTCCCTCAGTCACCTGATCACCACAGTCACATGATAACCATTACAGTCAGTACACACTGTCCTGTGCCTGACCTGTTGTTTTCCTCCCCTTCCCCCATTGCAGAGCAGAGAGATTGGAGAGGAACGGATTACAAGAGAGTAAGCAGACACACAATGAGGAATACACCATCTGTTTGCCAAGCATGCTCACAGCTGCCAGTGCCACCACACTGCTTTTGATGTGTATTCCCCATTGTATGCCTGCTTACTCTCTTGTAATTCCTTCCTCTCCAATGAATGTAAATACAAACATTAATTCCCTTATTGCTAATTATCCCAGTGCCTAGGTGAGCATTCCAAAGGGTGGGGGAGTGGTCAGGAGGCAAACAAAAGCCAAAGGTGTGAAACTGATTAGTTTTGAGCCTGCTACTCCAGTTCTGTGATGGTGGGGGGGGGGGCACATTCCAAAGGGCAAGGGAATGCACAGTCACAGTCACGTGATTTCCCACTTAACGACCACTTCCCTTAGTGACAGAGTTGCCGGTCCTAACTGTGGACACTAAACGAAGACTACCTGTATTTTATTCTAACCGTTAGTATATTAACTCTTTTGTTCTGTTTCAGGCAAGAGCTCACTTCACCAGATCCATCTGCTGAAGTAAGATCTTTTTTGTGATTTTTTTCCAGTGATGAAGCCACAGATCAAATGAAAAAGTAACATATTAGTGTTCAGTTGCTGGTGTGCTAAAGAACATATATATGCAAAAATCAGAGTTATAGCACATCTTTTTTGATTTTATTTCACTATTCAAACAAAATAGTGGGGTGCCGCAGGGTTCGGTTCTCTCTCCGTTCCTTTTCAACATCTACATGAAACCGCTGGGTGAGATCATCCACCATCACGGGATGAAGTATCATCAATATGTTGATGCTACTCAATTATACATCTCCATTGCAGGTGAGGTAAGTGATGCCGACCGCCCTTTTGTGGTGCCTGGAGGCTGTAAGGGTCTGGATGGGGATCAACAGCTGAATCCTGGTAAGATGGAGTGGCTGTGGGTTAATGGCTCCTTTGTATCTGGGACTTTGTCATCTTTGGTGCTTTGTCATCTTTGGTAGCACTGCCCCAAACAGACCCAGTGTGTAATCTGGGGGTCCTCCTAGACTCACAGCTCCTGCTTGAAGAGCAGGTGGTGTGTAATCTGGGGGTCCTCCTAGACTCACAGCTCCTGCTTGAAGAGCAGGTGGTGTGTAATCTGGGGGTCCTCCTAGACTCACAGCTCCTGCTTGAAGAGCAGGTGGCAGCCATGGCAAGAAGGGCCTTTGCACAACTTTGGGTTGTGCATAAGTTACGCCCTTTCCTGGATCAGGATGCCCTTCGAATGATCACTCATGCCCTTGTTATCTCCATATAGACTACTACAATGCGCTCCACATGATGCTACCCTTGAAGAGTATCCGGAAGCTACAGCTGGTCCAGAATGCAGCTGTGCAGGCTATTTTTGGAGCCCCAAGAAGGGCCCATGTAACACTGTTGCTCTGTGAGCTGCACTGCGTACCAGTCTGCTTCTGGGTCCAATTCAAGGTGTTGGTTACCACCTTTAAAGCCCTATATGGCATGGGATCAGGTTACCTAAGGGACCGCCTCCTCCCCATGACTTCAACCTGTCCCACCCGATCACACAGAGAGGGTGTGCTTCGGACCCCCTCGGTAAAAAAGCTCCGATTAGTGGGGTCCAGAAGACGGGCCTTCTCGGCTGTGGCCCCCGCCCTTTGGAATATCCTGCCCCTGGAGTTGAGATTGGCCCCCTCACTCCTGGCCTTCCGGAGGGATTTGAAGACCTGGCTCTGTCACTTGGCCTGGGGGGAGGAGGGGAGACATCGAGGGTGGGGATGGCTAGTCCCTTAGATGCCTTTTGTCTCCAGCCTGGGAAACCATCAGCCTCTTGGACTCTTCTTGGTAATGTTTTGTACAGTTTTTATGTCTTTTGTAATTTTATATGTATTTATTATTTTAATGGATTGTGAGAGCTGCCCAGAGTCCCCCATTAGGGGGAGATGGGCAGAGATAAATTTAATAAATAAAGTAAATAAAATGAACACAAAATGGAATAGGTCTACAACATCTGTCTGTGTATCATAGCATTATTATGGAATACTGTTTTTTTTTTTAACCTTAACTGGCTATCCCCATGGATTATATTTATAAAATGTCAAGTAAAGCAGTCTTACGTGCAGGCACCAACTGAATGAAAAGAAGAACACAGCCTCCTAAGAACAAGACTCCTGCCATTGAATAACGCCGGGGCAGATTCTGAAGGAGCAGCCAAGAGACAGTATAAGCTGGGATTTCAATTACTGCTGAAAGGAAGCAATTGAGGTAGATGTCTCCATGCAAGTTAGGGGTGTCCAGAGAGAGGCCGAAGTAGCCTATGGAAATCACCATCCTGAAAGACAGATAATAATAATAAACATCTAGGGGCAACAACACTATTCTGCACGGGACTAAAGTTGTGCCATATAGGTAGACCTTGCTTAATGACTGCCCTGTTTAGCAACCGTTTGAAGTTATGACAGCACTGAAAAAAATAACTTTTCGACCAGTCCTCACATTTACAACCATCATAGCATCCCAGTAGTCATGTGATCGACATTCAGGTGCTTTGCAACCAGCGGGCATTTATGACTATCACAGCAACCTGCAGTCACATGATCACCATTTGTGCGCTTTACAGCTGGCTTCCGCCAAGCAGGGTCAATGGAGAAGCTGGCAGTAAAATCGCAAGTTGCAGTCATGTGGTTTCACTTAACAACCACAGGTGATTTGTTTAACGACCACAGAAGTGAGGTCATAAGTGTGTTGTGGTCATGTGATGTTTTGCTTAACGATTGCATCACTTAGCAACAGAGTTGCCAGTCCCAACTGTAGTTGTTAAGTGAGGACTACCTGTATTTCTACTACAGTGTTAGAATGACAGTATTTTTATATTACACATTACAGACAATCCCCAGTTTAAGAATGAGTTCTGTTCCCAAGGTCTGTCCTTAAGTTGAATTTGTATATAAGCTGGAGCAGTATTATTGTACTGTATAATAGTACTGTTGTACAATAACAATTGTATAATAATACTGTTATTATTATATGTATATAATAAGTATGAGTATAAGTAGCATTGTGTAATCAACTCGAACCATTGTGTATTTAACTTAAATTCTGCTACAATAGTCTCCATTCTTAACTATGGATTGTCCTTAAACCAGGCATTCTTAACCTGGGGACTATCTGTATCAGGCAATTTCCCATTTATGCACTTGTATTCTTTACTTTAGACTATTTGTTTGTTGATACTGTTTTTCTACAGTTGGCAAAACAATTGGCAGTAAATTTCAGAGAGTAAATATTATTAAAATTTCTTTACAGTGCTGTGTTCCATTCACAAAGAATGGGTAAGTGCCTTTCTCCCTCTGTCATATACAGAAATCCAAGATGAGTGCACAAGAGTACTGGACATGTATAATTTTTTTCTAAGGAGAAAAGATGACATCAATTGGAGCATGTATGTGTGTGTTTACTAAATTAAATCCATCTTTATTACAGACATAAACCAGCATACATAAATAAATATAAATAAATACACACACACACATTCATACTCTACAAGGAATCCTCACTCCAAATGTCACCTGAAGTATAAATTGGAACATTATGGGCATTACATGAACAACAGAGAAAGGTGGTTTCTAGAGGCCACCCACATGTTTACAACTCACATGCTGAAGCAGTGCAACTTTAAAAAGTGGCAGAATGAGTGTTTTAGTGTTCTTTCAAGCCTTTCAGTATATCCATAATTAGCTAGTCAAGACAAACTGACGTAACAGCTTTGTATGTGGAGAATTTAAAGTTGCTACTGGAACCAGTTCAAGAAGCAAATCATCTGAGACTGACATACTCAAAAGTCAGAAAGGGTTAAGTAGTACAACACTACACACACCACACAGAGAGATATGACATCTCCAGAGTGGGTGATATCTTGAAAACTAATTTTCAAAGACAATGGTACTTGGGCTAATAAATGCTTAAAATTTAGACTGAGATACAGATTTCCATGAGCAATTCTAACGTGCCCTATGCATTCATTTATCTGCAAGTAAATGAAGTCATTTTATAACACTGACTTCTTGAAATCTGGTTTCTGGGCTTTGGAAATGTGGGCATTTTCTAGGAATCAATTTATCATTTGCTTACCATAGAATCACACACATGATAGTGACTGTTCGTATATTTTTGGTTCTCACTAGGTCCAAAATGCTGCATGACTGCTGAACTTGGGAATTCAAATCTTGCAGCTATATAAAATAATACATGCATATGAGAATCAAACAACACCCGCACACCTGTTGTCTTACAAGCAGATAACCTGCAAACACTGTCTATTTGAAGAATACTATATTTTAAGTAAACTGGTAAACAAATCCAGACTGGTACAAAATTACAGCAAACAGCATAGAATAATTTTCATATAATATGAAGAACAGAAGTAACTGAGTATGTTACAATCATATCCTAGAATTGTGTTACAGAATCGATAACCAGCAGTTTCATGAAAAGGGACTGGAAGACTTTATCACATAGAACAGAGTATTTTAATTCATGTTATTTTATCCAAGCACAGGAACCTAGGAATAAATTCTTCACAGATTCAAGATACATGCTTACCTCAGCAAGATCAAATATTACTTCGGGGGCTACAACATGGTTCTTTTCTGCAGCTTTACGAATGATATCTTCTGCTTCTTGAATCCTTCCTTGAGAGAGTAACCAGCGAGGAGATTCTGGAATGAACCTGCAGTATTTTAATACAACATCAACAGAACAACTAGAATTGCAAATCCTCCATGTTATCCATATCACCAGATATTTTGCCTTCTTCCCATATTATCAAGCAAATACTGCTCCAGAAAAAGAGGTGTCTATTAAGAAAGCCTTTAGTCAGCTATGAATGCATGGGTTAAACATGTATTAAAGATTTTCATAAATTAAAATCAAAGTGACATGAAACTACACCAATAAAGGATACTATCCTAATTGCTCATCCATACATCTTCCTTATCCCAGCTCTGAGATGGCCTAAAATTTGTTAAGGGTATACCCTCACGTCAGAGCCTCCATCTTGGGGCTGGTCTGCTGCTGAGGGAGGCTAAGGCTGGATCAAGGTGATCTGACAGGAAATTAATATTTTCATCAGCAACTGTAGTAAGTCCTCTTGTGTGTGAAGGTTTTATGTCACACAGAGGAGGGCCCTGAGAGAAATCAGTGACCTACATGGCTCCAACTGGCTCACGGCAGGACTGCCTCTCCTCTCCAGCCACAGGGCTCGTGCCTCTGCAACCAGTTTTGCTTTGACTGCCAGAGAAAACAGTGGCTTACTGGGCGTCCATGTTTATTTGTTTTAGTCAGTTTTTCCATGTTGTTGATGTTCCCTTTCTGTTCCAAAAAATACTGAAAGGACTGGCTGTCCTTAATGGAGAATGGGGAAGAGAAGGACAGCCAGGAGGCCTCTTCTACTGGGTCTTCTCTTTCCTTGTAAAACATAAGTTGATTCTTTTGCTGATTTGCTACTTATGCTTGAAAAATGCAGAGATGGAGGTTCTTCTTCCCCAGACAAGTTTATGGGTGATATAACAGACAAAGGCATAAGGTCACTTGTTATTTTATCACGTCTGAAAATGTGATTTTTATGGTTTACATCAGGCTTCAAACTTTCAACAAATGAAAAGGCCCTACCAGACAGAGTGGCCAAGAACAGCAACAAAAATAAAGAAACCTGGGTGCAAGTAACACTGTATTACTTGTTCCTAATTTTAAAGATGATGTGATGGAAATGTAATATTTGTAAGTTTGGAAGAAATGGGTTCTCCAAGGAAAGACTAACAATAACAGATATCTTAACATTTGTATGTGTGTGGGGGGGAGAACGGGATTCTAGAAGGACCTGATAGCTTACTGTATCTTATCCAATTTTTAAAAGAGTACAGTGGCACCATCTTGTGGTGTGCTATTTCATTTGCTTTTAACAAAATGTCGATAAAGGTTGTTTAATGACAGAATTGTTACACAACAGCTTTTATTCTATTTTTCCATAATGTAGTGGTGAATTAACTTTAAACTCAGAAGGATGATTTAAGATCCTACTGAATAAACGTTATTACAATGTATCTTCCTATATCAGATCTACTGCCTAATAGTAATCAAACCAGGATATAAAATCACAGAACTGCAAGAGATCTCAAAAGATCTGTGTTCACAGAACATGCTTAGCCTAATCAGCTGCAACCTAGGATGCATTTACAATATAGATTAGTTTTTTTGTGACTCAGAGTGTTTGGGATAATGGGCCCATTTGGTTACTTTCTGATTTGGTATGCTACATAGAAAGTGAGGAATTTTGTAACACAGCCATAATAAACAAACACAGCAATGCAAACTGTTGCATATTTCTTCTGTATTATCGCTCTCTACATCTGTATCTAAATTTCAATACAGGGAAAATACAGTGCATACAATAATTGAATGCCATTGTGGAAAATCAAACAAAGATCAAAACTGTTTCATAACAGTTATTTATAAAGCAGGGTAACAAATGCCTTTCTAACGGGATGGGAGGAAAGAATCTTATCAGTGAATTCAGATAATATGTTTTTAGTATGAATTAACCTACTTGGTAGGAGATTCAGGGGACGTAAAGAAAACAAGCAAAAGGAAACAAGGATTCTACACAGATTCTGAGGAAAATAGCCTACGTATATTGCAGAGCCTAGGTTCGCACACTGTGCTAAATTGTGGTTTGCTTAACCATAGTTGTTGAAGAAACCAAAATTGGCTAGCTTACTGAAACACACTAAAACACAAATTAAATTGTAAATTAGCAAGATGTATGAGCTAGATCATAAAGTAGCCCCTAAATTATTGAAATATTTTAGAGTATCTCCCTCCCTCATTCCTTTTAGATCAAGTCTTACTTTCTACAGGCTTTTCGAAGCACATAAAAAACCTAGCTGTAGGAAGGTGCTACTGACTTCTAACGGCTTTTAGCAGACCTTGTTTAAAAAAAAACCAAAACCCTTCGATTTCTTAGAACAGCTACAGAGGTTAAACAGGATGAGAAACGGGGTAAAAGATCACGGTTGTGACCGTAAGTGTTTATCTGGGAGTTTTGAAACAGATCCTATGATTATTGATTTTTTTTTATGTCACCAACCTGTAGATGATAGAAGTATATGAATCCCAAGGTTATTATTAGATCAAGAAATTAAAAGCAGAATACTGTTTTATTATTAGATGGATTGTAAAAAACAACTGTATATCCGTAAATACAGTATTAGGACAGGACAGTATACTTCTAAAATATGCAGTGAATAAGGACTGAATACCCTGGAGCATGACTTGTTTAAAATGCTACTAAGTCCTTTCTAATAATGTAAGCACAAAAATGGCCAAATCTGGATGAAGACCAGACTATACTAGCCCAAATTTGACAGGAATGCACATTTCCCAACTCATTCTGTCTTGCTAGTCGTTTTCTTCTTCTGAAACTTTAGTGGAATGTGTTGGAAATTTAATGCAGTCACGCTCTTCCTTGCATAATTGCATTTGTTTGTACTGAATTCAAATCCTAAATATTTCATAACAATGTAATCCTAAGAGAACTGTTACTTATTTTTGTTTCCTTGGAAATCCAGTCCAATTTAGTCATGTTTTGAGAACAGAGATACTTGTTAGCAAATAAGTAGTAAAATAATTGGTTACTAATGCTATTCCTTACAAATAAATCAAAAAGGATCATAAAATGGTACCATTTTACCCTAACTGTTTGGGGTACGTCAATTAACACTTCTACACTAAAGGTATTAGTTGCTATTAATTTGGGAAGGGTGGGACTCACCACCAGAGTGGAAAATATAGCAGCCCAGGAATAGTAAGAGCCATTAGCAGCAACCGCCATTCTCGAATGAAATAAGCACCCACTGGCAGCAGCATGTAGCCAAATGCATAAAATATGCAGACACCTAACGTGCCGTATATAATGCGGATGGATTTGCCAAGAATTTCTGCACCTGTTCAAAACAAAGGAAAATGAATTAGCATGTTAACTGAAATATATGAACTAATTATTTTATCCAGGGGAAAAAAACCCTGATAAAAAACACATTGAACTGTTGCTTCTTCCAAGAATTTATATACTTCAACCATTCTGTATTTGAAAGAACGCAGAATCAGATCTGAACTGGGAAAAGGTACTTTGGAGCCAGCCTGGACCCTGTTGTTGTACCTGTCAGCCGCTCTTTCAAGGTGCAAGGTTTTGGTAGTTTACAGGATAGGTCCACAGAAAGATATGTATTTTGAGTTCAGGAGATGCTATGTAATGACAGTAGGGTTTGACCATGCATCACCATCATGCTTGCCACCTCCTTAACTTAAATACATATTTTCCAGAATCTGCACAGCTACTGTGCAACCCAAGAAAATACTTGGTCCTTTAAGGAGTTGCTGACAGGTACAGGGATGGTACGGCCGCTGAATCTGAAACACCTTCTCCCACAGATACATGCACTCACCCACTTATACAGGGACAAACAAAGAGAGGGATAAGAGAGACATACAGAGAAACTAACCCACCTCACAGAAAGGATTCACAGACATGGGAGGGGAGGAAGAAAAGGGACAGAGGTGCATACATACACATGTAGACACACATTCACAGGGAGGAGACAGAGGAGAAGAGGACGAATCACAGAGATTAAAAAATATTTTCCAGTAGGAGAGGAATTCCTCCTTTCCTGCAAGACTAGTGAGCAAATTGTTTAAAACATTTAATAATACTTAAATAAGGAGAAATAATTTTCCACTGCTGAACAATTATTGGAGAGGGGGGAAAAGCTCAGGCACTGGCGACTGCACTGCAATCGTCAGGGCCATTTGTGAGGAATGGGATTGCTCCCTCCAAGTGATTTTGTCAGGTCCAACCCCCCCCACCCCGCCACGCCACCACTGAATGTTACTTAATTCCCTTGCAGAAAGGATAGCTGCACAGCCACTGTCTTGGGAACCTTGCCCTTAATATGCAGCACAGCATATTAGAAGGGACAGATCATGAACAAAACATCAGAGCAGCTGAAGGATGTTTCATATGGGGTGCCTATTTTAGTCCTATACAACAAACTGGCATGTTGAATGCAAGTTTGAAACAGAAAGGTTAACCACCAGCTTTCCTTTTATCAGATAAACTTTTAAGTTATGTTCTGCTTAGCAATGCTGGAAATACTGCCGTGGAGAAGATGGAAAGAAACTACAGATACCACTCACTGAGTTAGTGAGTAAGGCTACTAAGAAGGTCTGCTCACATTAAGACGATCACATACCAAGAACAAACGCTGCCACATAATTAGATATCTGACCCATTCCAACAATGAGAAAGAGAACAGAAAACATTTCCCAGCTTGTTGAGAACACCTGGAGAAAGCTAAAGCCAGTCTGGATCCCCATGGTTAGAAACAGCACGTTCTTCCGACCAAATCTGTAATGAGACAAAAATAATAAAAGCAAATCAGAGGGCTATCAAACAGAGTTTATGAAAATACTGAACTAGTAGAGACCAGCCAATTAGCATCAAAAAGAGGTGCCAGTTCAAACATATGGGACAACGCTACACTGCAAATACATGAAGAGTGGACAGCAGTGAAATCTCCTCACTGAAATTTCAATAAAGTTCTAAGGGAAGAAAGGAGATGACAGATAAAGATTCTCCACACAAGTTTAAATCTAATACATACACAAAAACATGTGAGGAAAATACAGACTGCTGGATTTTATGTGGGAACTCCAATTTTATTTCCGGTTTTAATTATCCTGTTCAAACTGTGATGAAAATTAAATTAAATGATGGGTTCCTCTGGTCCAAATCTTTCCCCTTATTACAATACATAATATAATACGGGACCAGGAGGTGGGGCTGAGACAGTACACTGGCTATGTTAATTGTGACTGATGGGTCTGTTTGTTATGCTTTTAGAGTCATGAGCTTGAGATGGGTAGCCACATAGAAAGAAAGAAAGAAAGAAAGAAAGAAAGAAAGAAAGAAAGAAAGAAAGAAAGAAAGAAAGAAAGACGCTATGAATAATACTTTTAGATTTATTATAACCAAGAGGTAATCAAAACTGTTTGCTCTTTAGATTATTAGGAAATGCTAAGAACCTTAAAAATATGGAAAATATGCTTTTATTTCATAGGATGGTATACTACATATGCCACAACAGGAGGCTGATCTCAGAAGCTAAACAAGATTGGCTCTGCTTAATACTTGGATGGGCACCTCCTGGAAATTCCAGGATTGTAGGCTAGACTGGGAAACTGAAAAAACACCCTGGAAGAAGAAAACCACTTCCATAACACTGCCAACCAAACTGCATAGATGCAGTCATCAGAACTGAGCTTAATTTGAGGGTATCTTTCTTTTCTTTTTTTTTTAATGTTCTATAAAATATATATCATTACACTAAATACCAAGGAATAAAAACAAAAGAAGTAAAACAAACCTCCCAGAATATTTAATAACTTTGCCGGGTTATACAGTATAATTCTCTGGTGAAGTAAACTATGATCCACAAAATCTTATTTAATAGAAATCTTTATTGTCATTGTACAACTTGTACGACGAAATTAATGCCACCCCAGTGCAGCTTTAAAAATATAAACACCATAAAACACATAACACACATAAAACACATATAACACGACCTTCACAT